GTGTACTAAAAGTTTGTATCGTAGGAAGAATAAAATGGTTTAACCAAGAAAGGACTTGTATCGCTGAAGTTCTTCGGAAAGAATTTCTTCCGGGAATTAACAAACAAGCATAAAGCTGTGTAATTCGAAACTTAAAGTGAGAGTGCTATGAAAGTTATGATTTTCCAAAACTCTAAGGTTACGGGACGAATCGTTCTTTTATGTTATTATCCAAAACGATTCAGTATGAGGCTTTTGAAGATTACAAAATAGAGATTCTTCGATTACATCTTTTTACAATGAGGTTACTGCATACGCCTCTTTTGGTCCTAAAAACATTCGACGTTTAGAAAAAAGAAAATGCGAAGTAAGTTACTCAAGTACTTTTCTTTACATTACTGATTGAATAATATCTATAGAAAGTACTATTTCATCTTGTATTAATTGCCAAGTATTTGATTGCATTGTAAAAATATTTCATTAAAGAATAAAACACACAGAGAAAAAAAAAAGACTCAATAATTTAATAGCAACCATGTTTACACGGTAGATAATACCCGGAGGTAATCCTAGGGTTAGTTGGACTGTCCGAATTTATAGCATTAACATAGAGACAGACAAACAGACACAGCTGTACTATGTAGACTACGTACTGAACTGGCTAATTTTGCTTCACTACTTGAATTTAGTAGTTGCCCAACTGTGTACACGCTGTCACGTTGCTTGTCTCTACTACTATATCTACCCTCAATGACCAACTGTTTCTACTACTGTTTTTAAATCTTTTGGAGCTGTACTGATGAAACACGGTTTGTAGAAGAAATATATATAAATAATGATCACCAAATAATTTTCCCAGTAATAATTTATTCTAAAACAACATTTCGTTTCCGTTCTTAAAACAGATAGCAGGTCGTTTTAATCCATCTTGTTCAACAACTCTGAACCAAAAAAAAGGGTGGAAGTTTGCTATATCAAGTCATTTAATACCCTAATTTAGGTTTATTTTAGCAAAAAACAACAGGACAGCTTTAAAAATATGATAATGATCGTTTGTTTTTGCGTTTAAAATGTATTTTCATTTACTCTGGCTTGAGCTCGGTGAATTTGTAATTTTCTTCATTAGCAATGAATGAATGAGGTCAGTGTTGTGAATTTATTCAAACATGCAAACAGTTGGGCAACAGATGTTAACCTCACGTTATTATGCAAGACTTAAATTAATAGCTTTTAATAGTTTTCACAAAGATTTCTGTAACAGTTTGGCACAGAAACGACATCCATCAATACATGACCAGTCAGGTTATACGTAAGTAATAAATAAAAAATGCTCTAATTGTCAAGAACTACCTTCACACCAACAAAAACATAAGTAAATAATGACGTCAAAGCAACAAAAGTATAAACTTTCACATGCTGTGTTTGCAGTTTTATTCAAGTTTACACTTTGTATACTGGAATAATACTAGATTTTATAACAATTCAACTAAACGTCTGCTGAGGTTCACCTACAAATAACACGGAACGGAAGTTAGAAGATTAACCTATAAATAATACGGAAACGAAATCGGAAGTTGCGCTGATAGTAGCAATTATGTCTTTTTTTTCAATTTTCAAATACTTAAAGTCAGAAGATTCAAAATTTATGGCACGATCTTTTAGTTGGATTATATTTAGAAAGGGAAATAAATTGGTAGTTGAGTCTAGATTTATAAGTAACTTAAATACAGGAGCATAACTTGGTGTTTCAACGATCTAACAAAAAAAAAGTTTAAGCGAGAAGGATAAATTTTTTACAAGCAATTGTAGTTTTTATCTGACCGGTTTAACTCCTGCTGTGTGACTACATTAGTTTATATCTAAATGAAATTGAAAATATTTGCTTCGTTACTATTTCTAGTTTATTCGAAGTTCGGTAACCCAATAATTTAAACATTGGATTAAAATGAGCAACTCCGATGTCTTGAACTTGTGTTAAGAATATGTGCAGGTTAAAAAATTAGGTTATTTTGAATTTGAGAAAGTTTGCAATGCAACACCAGTACTAGGTTTAAACATTAGGTTTCTATATTTTATTGATCATGATGTGTAATTTAAAATACAAGTTTGATCCCAAATTGTCTTCGCAAGTTGTAATTGTGTTTTGGTCAGGATGTATTTTCGTTTCTTAATGTAAAATTGTATCCAGGATTCTATTTGTAATGAAATTTTAATTTTGGCCGTTATATATATGTATATGTTACAAAAGATGTTTAGAGAACTCGCCATGTATTTGATTGGGTTTCGAGTTATATGTTGAACCATAATTTGACATTGAAAAAACTTAATTGACAGTTGTTTTTTTTTCGTTTTCGTAAAAATTACGCGTAGGAGACTATTTTGATTATTCATTAGCTTTCACATTGACAAAATAACAACTTCAAAAGTAATAACTGCTAAATTTTCTATTGAGAAAATAAAACTGGCCACAGCATGTGAAAATATTCAAACAATATGATATAAAGTAGAATTAGATAACAAATAAAAACACGGTGGTTTTGATTCACTCCAGACATTTCTCTCAAAGTAGCCCCTAATCTTGTGTGTAAAATGCCTCACCATGGGCTAATCATTAACAGTAACTTATCCTCTTCACAAAACTTCGTCCTTTCACGTGGTCCAGACTTTGGCACTTAACTGAAGAACTTCAGATGCAATAACCACACGCAAGTGTAGCTTTTCGTGGTCATATAGCGTGTAATCACTTGACTAAACTTCATTTACATCGGTACCATGGATAAAATTGACAAAAGTTTATGTTTCTATGGAAACAGGCAATCTGTCCATAAAGATGACCTTTCATAGCGCTCTATAAATACCTTGATTGTGGCACTGTTACGCAAACGCAATATTTACAAACAAAATGTACAGTGGTCTTGAAGGAAGTGCTTTTCTTGAGCAGCAGAGCACACAGTTGTTTACCTCTCTCTCAAGTTACTGGTCACGTCTTCGTCTTCGTCGCCAGCTTTGGTGATGCAGGTTGCCTTTCACTCTTATCTCACCTAGTGACAGACATAAAAATGTTATTGTCCAACTCGTACAAGAAAATAGTAATGTTTCAATTGCCCATAACATTTGTTGACAGTAAGTGACTCTTATTTTAACACACTGATCAAACCTTGAATTTCGCGTGATGTGTCCTTGAAGTTTTGAAATACAAGTTAGTTAACTTTTCAAACTGACTTCAAATGTAACGCCATATTCACTTCAAGATTTAACTCCTCTATTTTGTCAATACTACAGCAAAAAGGAACAAAAAATACGAAAAACAAAAACTCCAAAATAAATCAAGTCTTGTTAATTTAAAAGCTATAATTGGTATATCACGTATTGTAAGATGGTTTAATCGGTATATCACGTATTGTAAGATAGTTTAATCGGTATATCAAGTATTGTAAGATAGTTTAATCGGTATATCACGTATTGGAAGATAGTTTAATCGGTATATCACGTATTGGAAGATAGTTTAATCGGTATATCACGTATTGGAAGATAGTTTAATTGGTATATCACGTACTGGAAGATTGTTTTTTCGATTATTTCTGTGAACTGGTTGACAAAACATAATTAACTAAATGAACTTACTAGGATTCAGACAGCGGGAACAGCATTCGTTCTCGAGGTGCACTTTCACTGCACATGTTAATTTAGGACATTTCTTTCGCCTGCATCTTGCTCTACCCTCCTGCGTAATCGGAGAAACAAGTAAGATTAGATTTTTTTTGAGGGGGAGACTAAAAACATTTTTCAACATTCCAGTCAACATTGGCTTTTTTAAAAACTAATACGATAGGTTGGTACTTTATTTATCATTCTCAGTATAAAATCAAAAAAGTAAGATTAGTATTTGGGGAGGGGGGCTAAAACATTTTTCAACATTCCAGTCAAGATTGGCTTTCCTGAAAAATTATTACAATAGGTTGGTATTTTATTTTTCATTCTCAATATATAATCAAAATAAAACTGTTTGCATGTGATATTACAAGATTAGGCACAATAAATTCAGTTTGTAGCACAACAAAATGAAACAAAAATATTTGTGGGTCCTCCTCTAGCCTTAGCTGCGAGACGTTATCGATCAGGCCTGATATTATCAATTTTTGTTTTTTGAGACTATCAACTGGCATGTCTTATTTTTGCTAAACAACATCCGATGGTTTTTCTACATTAGTTACCTTCTCTTTCGAAACATTACTTTTAATCTGGTTCCATAGATTTTCGAGTGGATTGTCATCAGGTTAAAGACAAGCCATTTCATAACTTTCCTATCTCCAATTTCCTCCATATATCTTTTATTCAGCAAGTCAGTTTCTTTTGGATAATTATCACAGCCACACCTGATTAAACTTCACCCACTTGGCAGTATGTGTGCACTAGTTGTAACGATACTGCTACTTCTTCAGAACACCATCAGTCTCCTGCATCCCTACATCAGTACAGCGCGAAACAGTGTGTTCAAACAGGAAATATTATAAATATTTTGCTGCAATATTTCCAGCAGTTCTCTTCTTGAGTTTAATTACGTGGCCATCTTGTATCTATTTCTGGAGATGTTCTGAATTAATCTGACATTGAAATTCTTTATATGACACTATTCACACAGATGTTTTTGTTTTTCTTGGGCGTTTCTTCTTTTTAAACATTAGTTTTAGTTACAGCAAAAAGATCTAATGCTATTTGAAACACACCTTCGGAAATTATGTTTTTAAGCAAAACATTTCCCTTTCAGATTTCTTGTAATTGTGTAAAATGATAAAATTTGCTTTCTTTTCACAGCTTAATTATAAGCTTTCTAGTTTCGTCACGTTGAACTTGGTAAGCGGCAAAATGCTTGGATGATGTTGGAAATTTACTGCAATTGTCTGAAGTTTAACAAATGTTGGTGATTTAAAATAACTTTGAAAAACTAACGCACGTATCGGTGGACCAAGCTCACTCAGTTTACAGTAGTTGTTGTGATATAGTTTTTGAAGAAGTTTTCTATACAAACAAGATGAGGATATAATACAGCAAGAGAGACATCGTCAGACATATAGATGACATAAAACGTTTCATCCTCTTACTGGAACAATAAAGTCAACAAACTACCTCACAATAAAGTCATAACGACAGTTAACATACATCACCAGGCTATAGCAAAAACATAAGACATAGCTCACAAGACATTTATTCAAGTTAAACATTACCTTTAACTGATACCTGATGTGTACGTACGTTAACCAACCTAACATTGATATTTAGTCAAGATAATACACCTTACAAAGACAGGGCAAACTAACGTACTTAAGAATGACATTTGAAAGATGTCAGCCTACCGACCTTATAGTATTAGCTAATATGTATGTTAACCTACCTTACAAGGAGTTACGACATAATGGCATACCCTACACTGTTAATCAATACATGATAAGCTACTTTAAGGTGTTCATTAATGCATGTTAATCCACCTTATAAAAATCATATTTTACTTGACATTTTTGACACCTTACCTTGCAATTACAGTTAATACACGTGATTTCACCCCACGGCTGCACTGTGGGGTGCCACTCAGATCCGTTTGCTCGAATCTCACCCCGAAATCGACATCCTAGCCGGGAGAAAATTTGATTAATGTAATTATAAACAACGGCTACTAATACAGATTTAAGACATATATATATATATATGTGTGTGTGTGTGTGTGTGTGTGTGTGTGTGTGTGTGTGTGTGTGTGT